ATCTGAGTATCTTAAACATTCCATTTTAATTTTCTTGTTATTTTTAGGTATATTTCTTTGCATCATTCTTCGTTGTTGCTCTGAGGTTATAATATGCACTCCTAACTTGTTCCAGTTTGCATAGAGCTGACCCTGTACCACTCACATAAAACAGAACCTGGGCAGGCCTATAGGTCTGTTGTGCGCGCCATGCCATTCACACTCTGGATGCAGTGCCCGTGCAGAAACCCCACGAGGCAGTGTCAGTTGTAGATCCACAGGTGCGCTAAGAGATAGCAGAGAGTCCTTCCTCTTCTGGGACGTTTCCCATTCCCACCCTTTCTCCTTCCTTTCTGAGGAGCCAGGGCCTCCTTCTGCTGTCATTTCCCTTCAGCCTGAGGACTTCCCGGCCAAGCTGTTGGTGGCTAATGATGGGTCACCTTGGTTTTCTTTTTATTTAGAGCGTCTAATTTCTTTTTCGTTGCTGAAGGATATTTTCTTGGACAGGAAGTCCATGGGTGACATTTCTTTCCTTCAGTGCTTTCTGGCATTGTCCCCACTGCTGGCCTTCCGTTGTTCTGGATGGAAACAATCGCTTCGGTTCCTGCTCCAGTGGGTAATGAGTCATTCTTCTCTTGTAGAATTCAAGATTCGCCTTTGAGGGCCGTGGCTGTGGCTCGGTGGTGGAGCACGTGCCTGGCACACACGAGGCTCTGTGTTCCATCCTTAGCACCACATATAAATAAATAAATAAAAGTATTGTGTCCATCTACAACTAAAAAAAGTTAGGAAAAAAAAAGAGTCACCTTTGAGTCTGACTTACAACTTAGCACTGATGCTGTGCCTTTGCATGGCTTTGTTGTGTGTGTCCTGCTGCTTGGTGTTTGTGTTGTGTCCTAAATTGTAGATATATATTTTTAATCAAATTTGGAAAAATTTGTCCTTCGTTTCTTTAAATATTTTTTCTTCCCCACTCTCTTTCTCCTCTCCTTCTGTGATTCCAGCTACATGTATATAAGACCCTCTGGTATTCTATAACATGTTTTTGAGTCTCAGATGAGATTTCCTATCTTTGGACTTATTATGAGCATATTTTCATTCATTTCATCAGGAACAGTTATTATCATTGCTTTTAAAATCCTTGTCTGTTAGTGTTAACATTGGGTTATCTCTGTTGATTTTCTTTTTCCCTTAGTGTATGCTCCATTTTTTCTTGTTTATATTTGGAATGCATCTTAGAAATTTGGAATGATCAATTCAGGAGATAATAAATTTGGATGTCTTTCCTAATGAATGTAGTATATTTTGTTTTAGCCACTGTATTGGTTGGACTCAAACTGCACACTCTGTTTCTTTCGTGGCAGTCCTGATCTGAGTCAGCTCCTTTGTGCTTATCTGAGGTATTTGGAGTGTTTTCTGGGCATGTGAGCTTCAGGAGCCAGGCAGAAATGTGGTGAGACAGATGAAGGGATTCCTGTCTGGCTCTTTCCCTTCTAGGACTTTGTCCCTAGTGACCACGGGTAACCACAATTGGCCTTCTACTTTCCAGACCAGAAAGGCTTCTTTTTTAGTTCACTTTTTTGATGGTGCTCGTGCCCCACATCATGCTGCAGTACTAGCCTGGGGCTGGAAGGACTGAGAGAGACCCATCTCCCCTCTCCCAGCGTGGATTCCCACCAGCCTTTCCTGCTTCTCTTCACGGTGCAGCTGGTTTTGGTGTCAATCCAGAGTGCACCGTGATTACCTGCAGGAGAGTTGGTCCAATAGAATCTCATGCTACTGGAAGAAGTCAGTCAGGTTTTAGTATTTTCATATTAATTTCCAAAATAAACACTTTGTTTGATGATGTTAGTGGTTTATTGTGCATAGTTACAGTAGATAATGTTGTTTAGCTATTTGATATTTCTGTTTTACAAACATTTTTTATTTTGATATAATTAAATAGTTTAGGGTTTCTTATTTAAGAATAAATTCCTTCCAATTCAAGTATCAAATAAGTATATACCTAGGTTTTCTTCTAGGTTTTTTTGTGTCGTAGTTTTAAATTTAACTTTTAATCCATTTTAATTTACTTTAATATCTGGTACCAAGGGAAGATCTCATTTGGTATTTTTCCCAAAAAGAAAGGCAATTTGGTAAGCAATATATTGATGCTGATTCTATTTTTAATAGTAGCCATAATGTTCCTATAATAGGAAATTAATTTCCAACTTGCTGAAATTTAGGATGGAAATTAATATTGTCAAATTACATCAAAGTTTAGGAAAGAAAAACTGTGTAAGAAGGAAACATTTTTTTGTGTGTGAATAGTAGCACACCAAACCCAGGACCCTTGTCTAGCTGTCCTTGTCTCGGTGCCCGACAAATCCACTCGTCGGTCTCCTTCTCACTGCCCTGAACACGTGCTAGAAGTAGGAGTGATGACCTCGGCCCACCATTAGCTGCTCTGATCATGATCAGTAACAGCGCTTTGGAAGGGTCAGGGGCTGTGTTCTGGATCCTGAATGGTGGGTGATGACCAGGAGGGAGACGGTGGGTGAGTCCAAAGGCACTGTTGTGAGGGTCAGGGAGGAACGAGCGAGGCTGGTTTCAGATCTGACTACGCACCACAAGGGGGATGGGAAAGGACTGGGGATGTGGCAGTGGCACAGGAAGCCCATGGAGGGTCCAGGAGAGGGAGGAGCAGACCCCTTTTGAGGAGCTGCAAGGGCCATGTGCTGGTGCAGACAGCAGCGGGTGCCGCGGGGAGGCTAGAGGCCAGCAGGGCCAAGCCTCGCAGGCTTGGAAGTTCCAGGACAGGTGTTGTCCGAGGAGCGGTGGAGAGGCCCGGGATGATTTTAAGCAAGGGGGTCATCTGATCAGATCTTCATTTCAAAAAGTTCTGGCTGGCGGGAATATGGAGTAAGGCAGGAGCATTGGAGAGAGGCAGGACAAGCACAGGGAGACTAGTTAGGAGATGGTTGCAAAACCCCGTGTTAGAGAAGACCGGCGCTCGGTGCTGTGTGGTGGACGGACAGCTGGCCGGCTGCCCATGGAACAGTGCAGACTGAGTCTCCGGCTCCTTGCTTTGTTTCCCACCGTCCCTTTTCACTTGCTGGCAGATCAGTTCTTCTTCCTGAAGGAAACACGGGCAGACCTGGCCTTCCCAGGTGGTCTTGATCATGCCAAGACCTCCGTTTAGAAGTGCGGCAGCCTGAGTCGTGGCACTCACTCCCGTAGGCAGGATTTCATGTGGGCTGTGCTCCTGCCACTGTGAGGGCATTGCAGGCGAGAGCAAAGGGGCACGATGGCAGCTTCCCCTGTGTCCACCTGCACAGGAGGGAGAGGAAGAAGATAGGCGCGAATTCTTAGATGGCACCACCCAGGGCCTGGGCCCAGAGAGAGTCTAAAGTACTTTTTTCCAACCAAGCCTTGGCCGGCTTTGGATTTCACATTTGATGAAGGCAAGCGCATCTCCTTCCCAGCTGACTGACGGTCCCTTCAGTCTGTTGGTTCCTCCCGGTGGCCCTCTCAGTTGGGACTGCGATGCCCCGTGTGGGTCTGTGTGCACCTGCTCTTGCCCTCGAAGCATCCTCTGGAAGCCCAGGAATACTTTCCTGATGACTGATGGGGAAGTCAGCCAGTGCCCCACCCCAATCCACGCTGGCAGCTCCCCTTTCACTCGCAAGATTTCTAGGTGGACACACATCACTATCCTAATCGTAGGGGATACGTGTCAAGATCCTTGAGAGGAACTGCCACTATGCAACGGCTCACTCTGTTCCCGGCACAGGGGAAGCCAGTTGGTCCAGAGGTGAGGGGGTGGAACTGGATCGCGATGAGCTGGTTACTGGACCCTCCCTGAGGGGGCCATCTTGCCAGGAGCTGCCTTAGGGACGGTGGCTATAGGAGGGGGGTGATCACAGGCTGGTGGGCACCTACTCAGGGGGGAAGTTCCAGGACAGGTGTTGTCCGAGGAGCGGTGGAGAGGCCCGGGATGGTTTTAAGCAAGGGGTCGTCCAGCCTGCAAGGAGGAGAAGCCTGCTGTTTTTTCTATATCCCTTGTCCTTCTCCTCCTCGGGGGCCCACTGCTCCGCTCTCTTACAGGTGAGAACAGAGGATGGAGAAGGAGCCCCTTGCCTGTCAGCCAGCCGGAAGGGCCGGAGTGGGAGTTGACTCGGGCCTTTCTGAACCCTGCCCGGCTCCTGCTGTTGCTCCTGCTGGCCTCCTGTGACTCCAGAAACACCGGTCCCTGAGTCATGGGAACATACTGATTTTGGAAATTTGTTTTTGAGCCGTTTCCCAATTATTTGTTCCTGCTGAGACTCTATCTGCACAGCTTTTCTGCTGCTGCCTCCTGGCTTCATCCACCTGAATTTATGATCTTAATGTTTGGCAGTTGAGAAGCCCCGTCCCCACTCACAGGGCTGGAATCCGGGAGTCGCAGGGCCCTGGGGGAGCTCTGGGGGAAATCCATTTCCCATTTTGTGGCTTCCGCAGGCCGCCTGCTCCTCGGCCCTTTCCTCCCTCTCCCAGCCACCAGTGCCACATCCTCTCCTGGCTGCAGCTCTCTCGATTTTTAAGAACTCACGTGATTCGCTGGCACCCCCTAACTGAGGGGACTCCTCCCCCCAAGGTCCACCCTTGTCACATGGGTGTGTGAGGTAAGGTGTGTGAGGTAAGGTGAGGTGTCTACAGATCCGAGGGTCAGGACATGAGCACCTAGGGGCCTACTGACCACAGCCACCGAATGAGCCTGAAACAAAGTGGGCCTTAGAATTTAACCAGTTCCCCTCTTTCCTTCCTGGCATGTGCCACCACCAACAGACACGGAGACAGAGAGCGTGGGGGCGGGATCTGTTTGTTTTTTACTTACTTTAAAAAAATCAATTTGTAGTACTCTTTTACTAAATGATTTTGTTTACCTTGGGTTTGAAATGTCATCTAAATTCATTGCTTCCATTTTCAATTCAATATTAAGCATCTAATCTGTGTGGTATTATAGAAAAAATGTTTAATATTTTTGCTTTCTTTTAATCTAGATTTGGACTTAAAACCACCAGTAAAATCAATTGGAAACATTTTTTAGCATCATTTAATGAGCCTCAGGAGTTCGAAGTCAGTTATATGGTTTCCTCAAAAAAACCAAGTAGGTATGTGAAAAAGGAAACTTTAAGTTTGGTTACACAAATCATAATATGTAAAAGGTTGGAGGACATCTGAGTGATTCTTTTTCCATTTCTTGAATGACCAGTTAGTCTCCACTGAATAATTATCAACTCTTACATACCGATTATTTTTCATACATTTTTCTTATTTAAAACACTTTGAACTATGAGCTTGGTATAATTAAGATTCCAGTTTCTCGTTGGGAGAAGTAAGACCTGAAGAGACGGTGAGCGAGTCTCGTGCTTGGGTGGGGGTGGCGAGGGACCCCTCCTCCCGTGGCGCCCCGAGCTCTGGGTGTGCCCTCGAGTCCCATGGAAGGGGACAGTGCTGACGGTGTCCAGCACTGTGAGGCACAGGTGTCCTGGGTCCTGGCGTGTCTGTGTCCCTCTCAGATGTGTTGTGACTTCAGCTCACACAACCGCACAGACTGGGGGTGGGGGGCACAGAAATGTGCAAGGGAGGACTTACCAGGGTGTTTTGGAACTTAGACGCTCGTTCTCAGGAGTCCTTTGCTTCTGCATTCTGTATCGATCCCCCCATGAAGCTTGAGAGAAAACCCAGGCTTCCTGATGTCACATGGGCACCCAGAGCACTGTGCTCTGTTGTAAAGCAAAATGTTCCACACAGCAATGCCCGTTTCCCTGGGTCCCTTCCCTGTCTGAGGTCTCTTTAGTATTTAGTGACTGCCCTGGTCATCAGCCTTCCGGTTACTCGGAGCCCCTTCCTGCTCCTGGGATGCCACTCTGTGAGTCCCTGGTATCTGGGTGAGTGAGCTATGACATGCTGTCTATGGCAGGTCTCGGGGCGATCTGTGGTCTCTCTCCTGGTCTTTGTTGAAGTCAGAATCACAGATTTGCAAGGTGGCTGACCAGCATGGGGGCAGGGCAAGGGTATGGTGCCACTAATGGATGCTGAGAGGATCACACCCACAGCGGCTGAGTGACAGTGGGACGACACAAGCACTTTCCACTTCTGGCAAGAGTCGTCTACAAAGAAAGTATTATTATAGTTGTTGTGACGTGCTTGCTTTTTGCATTAAGAAAGGACAAAGTTCAAGAATATAATCTTTCTCCTGTTTCTCTCCTAATCCATTATAGCCTTGGCTCAAGAAACCAACCTCAGAAGGAAAGTATTGTCACCAAATTATTTAGACACGGTGAAGACAGCTACATGGCGTTGAAGAAAGCGTTACTGATAATCAACACTGTAAGATTTGAAACCCTTCTCATTGAAAAGCTCATTGTTTCTAAGAAAGCTAACACTCAGAGCAAGACCAATAAAAACTCTGTATTCACCCATTTATCCATCCAGCGAACGTTTTTGAGCTCCTGCTGTATGCTGGGGCATGCAGGACTCAGCTCAAAAGCTGAGCCTTGCTTGTTTGGTGCCAAACGAATTGCAGTGCAGAGCCCAGGGCCATCAGCAGGGAGAGGGCGGCAGGGCCACCAGGAATGGTGGGACTTGCATCAACCATGCAGCTACCACATACCCCCACTTGCTGGAGCGCCCACCCTGACCTAAAGGCCACCAGCTCAGCCACGTGGTGCCCGCAGCAGGG